ATTTTTTCATAAATAAGATCATAATTTATATAAAATTTTATTAAATAACAATTATAATGTTTTTTATAGATTAATTTTATCACAATGGAATTATATCATATGTATACAACGGAAATATAAAACACAGATTATGCAAGTTTAAAGGATAAGGTTGATAAAGATTATAATTATCTTGTATATTAATTTTTATTAGCTTCTATATTAATTTGTAAAACTTACTAATTGTGGTTATGATTTTTCTAGTTAATCATGTATTTAATATTTGTATTCGAAATGTTTCTAACTATTTTTTTTAAGTGTGGGATGGCAAAGCTTTTTAGACATATGCTGCTCTAATTTTATTCTATAATATCTATTTAGATGATAAATGATGTTATTTTTATTGTACTTATATCATTATATATGTGGTATGACAATGTAACCTACTACCATTTTTAATATCTTGAAAAATAAGAGAAAAAACTAGTAAATGTTTATACATAGGAGTAATATTATTATGTGACAGTAATCTTTTTATCATATAGTATATTCTAATAATAAATATTACGCTTTACTTCATTGTGATTTCTTACTTGTATATAATTGAATTGCTAAGAGTTTTAAGAGTTTATAATATAGTAAATATGTGTTTTAATATATTCCTTAATTGTACATGAACCATCAGTTAAGAGCTTACAATATTGTAGTACATTTTAATATATTTTGTATTACAAATAATCTTCATTAATTTTGAATGCTCTTTTGACATAGGCATATTTGTTTTAATAAATATTACAGAATAATTATGAAACTATAAGATTTAATTTATAAAAAAGATGTACTTTTTATTTCGGAAATAATTTAACAATCTACAATGCAAATTTTATCATCATCCGGTGCTCTCTTGTATATCATGTAACTTTTGTTTGACAATTTTTTCTTCTAGTCTCACGCTTTTGAAGATATTAAAAGATGAATAGTATATATAGATTTTGCTTTACTTTATATATACATACATTATACATATGTTAAAACTACTTGTGCGTGTTTTTGTTTATCGTTTGTATCTATCATTGTTTGGTCAATGTATATTAATACTTAAAAAATATACTGCATATGTAATGTATTTTCTATAATGTGACCATAAGTATATATAGATATGTATATGTTGCATAATATATAGTTATTATATCGCAACATACGTAAATATTTAAGATTGACTCGACCGTAATTGAATAGTGTTTTTAAAATTTTATAATTAGATTCCTAGAAAATAAAAGTAGATTGTATGCTGTTATAAAATTATTGATTGTAACAGGGATATGGAAAAGCAAAAATATTATCACTGGTGAAAAAGAAAAATGTATAGAATAGGATCATTTTTATGTGGTCTTTATTTGCAATTTTATTTTTTTATCCATGTAATGTTTTATAAGTTATTTTTAAATTACGTATTAAAACTTTTTCAATATATCTGTTTAGGGTTGATCTGTTATTTAAAATGGTTATAATATTTTTTAAATATTTTATTTTAAAATTATAAAATTTTATTTTGGAACAGTGGTAAATATGGATATTGTATTTGTCAATACATTACATCTTTTTATTTATCATAATACCATAAAAATATAATGAATGTGGAAATTAGAATAATGTAACATGAATAATGAAATGTAATTGTAAAAAGATATTAAAAGATTTAGATACATAAATTACATAAGTAATCAAAGACATATAAATTAAATAAATGTTTATATAAATTCATAATATTTAACTGTTTCGTAATTTCATAATTTAAAATTAAAGCTTACTTTTCTCTATGTGCTACATGAATAAAAATTTCATATTTTAACAAAATGTAATATGCAATATAATAAGCAATAGAAAACTTTTTTTAAAGTTTTTTGTAGCAAATGTGTATAATTATTTTTAATACTTATACTGAAAATTGGTTGTATACTGAAATTCATTTTCAATGTATATTGGCAAATATAATATGTATTTTGATTTATATATAGTTTATGTCAATATCTAAAACAATAAAGAAAAATTTGTTAAAGAATTTTACGAAATTTTAAAATGTTATATGTTATATTTTATAAATAGTATCATCACACTTATTACTTGAAGAATTCTAATATTTTTTACACAAATACGAACATAATACTCGTTATTGCATGAAATATATTGTGTATTTGTTGGAATTAATGAATTGCTTCTTGTACGTATTAAAATAGAAATAGAAATGTTACAAACACATAGAAATGTTAGAAAATTACACTTACGCAAAAAGAAATAGTTTGTATCCAGTGTAACGCACAACAACACAATCTTAACCATACGATTTCAATGGAATCACACAGTGCGATGGGAGATGATTGTGCTGGAAGGGGTGGAGATTTAAAACACACTAAAGCAGCATGCTCTTATGT